TTCCGAAAAAGGATCACAAAGCACAAAATGACATCATTTCCCGTTATAGGTTACTCAAAATCGCTTTTTGTATCAAAGTTTTTTAGACACATTAATAGAAAGTTATGTGGAAGGGAAAAGTGGGGAAGAAAATCTGGTGCATCTATGGCCTGCAAAGAATCACAATCATGGGAAAGACTGCTGACCTGACAGTTGTGCAGAAAACCATCATTGACACCCTCCATAAGGAGGGAAAGCCTCAAAAGGTAATTGCAAAAGAAGTTGGATGTTCCCAAAGTGCTGTATCAAAGCACATTAATAGAAAGTTATGTGGAAGGGAAAAGTGGGGAAGAAAAAGGTGCACAAGCAGCAGGGATGACCGAAGCATGGAGAGGATTGTCAGGAAAAGGCCATTCTAAAGTGTTGGGAACTTTCACAAGGAGTGGCTGGAGTCAGTGCATCAAGAGCCACCACACACAGACGGATCCTGGACATGGGCTTCAAATGTCATATTCCTCTTGTCAAGCCGCTCCTGAACAACAAACAACATCAGAAGCGTCTTACCTGAGCTAAAGAAAAACAGACCTGGTCTGTTGCTCAGTGGTCCAAAGTCCTCTTTTCTGATGAGAGCAACTTTTGCATCTGATTTGGAAACCAAGGACCCAGAGTATGGAGGAAGTATGGAGAGGCACACACTTCAAGATGCTTGAAGTCCAGTGTGAAGTTTCCACAGTCTGTGTTGATTTGAGGAGCCATGTCATCTGCTGGTGTTGGTCCACTGTGCTTCATTAAGTCCAGGGTCAATGCAGCCGTCTACCAGGAGATTTTGGAGCACTTCATACTTCCTTCCGCAGACGAGCTTTATGGGGATACTGACTTCATTTTCCAGCAGGACTTGACACCTGCCCACACTGCCAAAAGCACCAAAACCTGGTTCAATGACCGTGGGATTACTGTGCTTGATTGGCCAGCAAACTCGCCTGACCTGAACCCCATAGAGAATCTATGGGGCATTGCCAAGAGAAAGATGAGAGACATGAGACCGAACAATGCAGAAGAGCTGAAGGCCGCTATTGAAGTATCCTGGTCTTCCATAACACCTCAGCAGTGCCACAGGCTGATAGCTTCCATGCCACGCCGCATTGAGGCAATAATTGCTGCAAAAGGGGCCCAAACCAAGTACTGAGTACATATGCATGCTTATACTTTTCAGAGGTCCAATATTGTTCTATGTACAATCCTTGTTTTATTGATTGCATGTAATATTCTAATTTTCTGAGATTGTGGATTTAGGGTTTTCATGAGCTGTAAGCCATAATCATCACAATTATGACAAATCACGGCTTGAATTATCTTGCTTTGCATGTAATGAGTCTATCTCATATATTAGTTTCACCTTTTAAGTTGCATAACTGAAATAAATGAACTTTTGTACGATATTCTAATTTTTCGAGTTTCAACTGTAATTTTTAATATTCACAAAAACTGTGGCACAGCAAGGCATAGCCTCAGGCTGTTAATATAGACTGGTATTGATTTAAAGGTAACTGGTGTTTGTTTGGAGATTTTATATGTTGATCATGCAAATACAGTTGATCATGCAAATACTCTGAAATACATGAATGCATACAGTTCCTGGTACCGGTATGGATCTACTACAAGTATGAATGTGCTTTATTGTAACAATAAAAATACCAGAAACATAAAATTGCATTTTCTCTGAAAAATATACTGAAAACAGAAAAAAAAATGCACTCAAATCCATGGCTTTATTCAACGGCATCTTGGTAAAAGAACGATCAGGAGAAGCAAAGTTATAAAAACATATAATTCTTTACTAGAAAATCTGCATAAGTCAAAAAATAGCTACAAGCTTATTAAATAATTCAATGCAAACAGAAATGCTAATTTCTAAATTGAAGTAAACTATAACAAACAATCAGGTGTCTAGTTACTGTAGTAAGATTAAGAAAATCCAGACTATTTGTTATTTGGGCTACTGCACTTTGGCTTTTTGATTTTCGCCTTATCAAATAATTCAACATGTGCTCAGAATGCCTTGCACTTATATCATAAATGTCTATCACTATCACTGCAGTGCCAGGAGCAATATGTACGCAATGTAGTACTTTGTACCAATCAGATTTCACCACTACAGTGTAATCAAAAGATAAAACATTTCTTATTGGTTGATATGGGATAACAAGCAGTTAAATTCCATTGTTTCCAGGTAAATATGGGGAACAAAATGAACACTAGACAGTCTGGTGTTATTAATTCAATTATACTCGGTTTCTATCATTCTAAGAAGATGCTACTGTCCTGTCTCCTCCCAACTTCAACATACACAGAATCTGTCTTTAATGTCTAGTTATGTGAATCCTACCATTAGATTTTTTTTTGATAATACAATTTAATTGGCTAGTTTAAAGTCTCTCATTAATATCAATGGTAAAGTCAGATGTGTGTTCAGTAGCAGGCTTATTTGATGCAGTGCAATGCAAAGTCCAATACAAAAATTGCTAATGAATAAAGTGATGTAAGAATGGGGTAGCACAGTGGCTAAGTGGTTAGCACTTTTGCCTAGCAGCACCAGAGTCATTGGTTTGAAGCCACTACCTGCCTGGAATTTGTATGATCTCCTTCTGTCTGCGTGGATTTCCTCTCATACCCCAAAGACATGCTGGTATGTTTATTGTCTCCTGTCTAAATTGGCCCTAGTATGTGTATGTATGAATGTAAGTTAGGGACTTTAGATTGTATGCCCCTTGAGGGTTATGGACTGATGTGAATAAACACTATACTGTATGTTGCGCTGTGTAAATTGATGGCACTATATAAGTACCTGTGTTAAATAAACAATGAGGACATGCAAAGTGCAGAAATAAAACTTCAGTTTATTGCTGTCAGTTCAGTTAGGAGTAATTTCATTTGCACGGTGCACTTTTCATATTCTCATTGCTCTTTGCACTACCTTATTAAAAATGCCTGGCTGTGCATGTGTTTTTGATAACCCATAGCTCCACTTTTCTAAAAAAAATTGATATTAAAAGCCAGGGCAATAATCAATGTTGCCAATATTTTTTTCAAATTCATGTTTGTGTGGACTCCTAAAAGGATACCAGAATTTATAAATTAAATTGGTTGCATCCCATATGATCCCCCTCACCATCTAATCAATTCTGGACATGTAAGTACTTGCCACAGCTCGTTCTGCCTAATTCACAATAACACAGCCTGGCAGCAGTTGGAGATAGAGATCTAATGCGCAAGACCCACCAGTTATTTATTTATTACAGGTGCTTATATAGTACCATCAATTTATGCAGCACTTTACATATATATATTGTACATTCACATCCATCCCTAACCCTCAAGGGGTGTACAGTCTAAGGTCCCTATCTTACATTCATACATACACATACTAGGGCCAATTTAGACAGGATCTACCAGCATGTCTTTGGAGGGTGGGAGGAAACCGGAGTACCTGGAGGAAACCCATACAGACACAGGGAGAACATGCAAACTCCAGGCAGGTTAGGATTCAAACTGACAACCCTAGTACTGCCAGGTGGAAGTGGTAACCATTTATCCACTGTGCTGCCTCCGCCATGAAGCTGAATACGATACCCATCTCCTTTCTGCACAAACAAAACATTTCACTTATATACCCCTTTCCTATAAAAACATTTAAACATTGACTAGCAGGCACAGTTGGCATCAGATAAATACTATGTTCATTGCTGATGGCTGTCCTTCCATACCTCTTTTTAAAGGTCGATATCAGACAACAAGTGAAAACTTTTATTAATACTAATGCCTATCCAGTAAACACTACAACTGTGTTAAAATGAGAAAGTTTTTAAATCTTCTTTAATCTGAGTTCTCTATAATCCACCTAATCAAGAATATAAAAAACAGTTTACAGGGCCACTGAAAGTCTGTTTCCTGCAGCGCAGGCTGTGTAATTTCCTCTCTCTGCTTATTGTATCAGCAATCACATACCAACGTTTTGATAGTGGTTGTGATAAACTTCTTTGTATTGATTGTTCTCAGACTTTCTGCTTGTGAAACACAGCAAAGAGACAGTGGTGGGTGTGTTTGGGGAATTCCTATATGGCATCACAAATATGGGTTCTCAGATATTTTATATATAGGGTATGATGGACTGGTGCAGCTTAGCAATGTTTGGATTACAAATTGAAATACTGGGCAGGTGGGATAGGTTCCCTGTATGCATCTCAATTTTTAATTTTTAATGGTTAATACCTTTAGTTTTGTCAGAACAGTAGAGGCTCAATACCATGACAGGATGAAATTTCAAATGATTTCCACATCACTAGATTTGGGGCCATCTGTTTTTCTTATCGGTTTCTAAGTATTTAAAAATAATTCCTATCACCCACATGTTGGATAATGGAACTTTCCAGAAGACTGAAGATAAAAGCGTTAAGTTTGTAACTGTGAAATATGCTTTTCCTGGGTATAGTTTGGCACTTTGCAGGAATGTTAAAGCATAGCTCTTTAGCAGACAATATGTATTCAGAATACTAAATTCTGATGAGTGAAAAACAAATTCCAACTGATTGCTATCAGCTTTTAATTAATTCATATGCACCCAACGGAATGCTCAGTGGTGTACAAGGATTTTTGTTGTGTAGGAAGGGGTTAAATGGTTATCGGGTAGAACTAAAGTCAAGACTGGTCTATTATTGGCAGGATGTGTGGGTGAATATATGTTCTTTGATTTAATGTGATACAATCTAGAGGACATCTCTGGATCTCCATGGAGATAACATTTGATTCTCCAAGCTCACAACAACCCCCCCCCCACTCAGCTAGTCTTTGTAGTATTAGCAATACATTTCCAACACATACTTGTTGCTTTTGAAAATTGCAGTTGAGATGCCAGTGTTGACTCTGGAGAACATCCCTGCATTTCAGAGAGCTGTCTCACTACCCACCAGGGCAAATGAACAATAGTGATGGCGAGACTGAAAAAAAGGTCAAGGACTACTTACTGTAACTGCTTTCCTCCTCCTTTGTTCCATCAATTGTGCCATCTGCCTGAAGCTGCAAGTGGAAGCCTTGCCTGCTGTACAGTTTAGTGACTATACCTTTGAGTTGAGGTTCTGTAAGGAAGCAGAAAATGAACACACATTAGATACGTCTCCTAAACACAATACAGCAGCTTGTAGTCTTGCTATATTTTGAATGAACACATTTCTAAATCAGGTCTGCTAAACCTACCAGTCGTTCATTCTGGACTCATTATGGCACAACATAAGATATGACATTAGTAACTAAAAATTCATAATTCTGAAACTTTCTTCTTTCTGAAAGACTGAATTACGAACATTTGTTTTTATGTTATAGTATATAAAGTGTCTATTTTACCAAGTGAAAAATGTTCATATTTTGTACATGGCCATAAAGGAACTGTGGTATAGTTTTTTATGTAGAGGTCTAGGAATATTTGTATAGACACAGAATTCTAATTTGTCCACACTTCCCTCAAGCAATAGACCTTAATGTCTTCCCTTATATAATGAATACTAAAAAAGTATATACAAACATAAAAGACCAAGATAGAAAGACAGTATTATGATACAATTGGCAGTTATCTTGCCTTGCCTTAAAATACTGGATTTTGTTACTTTCATTCAACATGTATAGAACAATCCACTAAAGCATATTTCCTTTTATTATTATACAAGTGTGTAGTTACATTATAATAGTATTATATGTTGTAAAGTGTTTTTTAAATCTGCAAATACCTACTGGTAAGTATCTTAAGTTATACTCAAAAGCTTCATAACAAGGCAACGCAAAGGGTAGTGGCTATGTGCGCAGTACAGATATCCTGCACAACCATCGGATTTTGGGTTACTATAGTCATATTAATATTAGATTGAATCTGGTTGATTGCTATAGGATACTGTTCTTTGCACATTTCTCTTTGCCTTATTAAATAAGCCTAAACATGTCAACTTATTTGTCTGACCAGAAAACAGAACATGTATAACATCACTGATAAATAAAATAAGCTTTCACAGTAGCAAGAGGGAAATCCCATCTCCACGTAACAAGCAGCTACTAAGAGGAAAATTGTGCATCTGAAATAATATGTTTACTGCAAAAGGGATTGCCTGGCGAACACTCTCAAAGAAATTATAACAGGTATTAACCGTCTGAGCCAGACATTCTCTATGTCGAATTACCAGCGTGATAACACAAGTACTCTAACAATATTACAATTACCCCCTCAGATTCTTGGAATAAAAATGACTGTAAATTTGCCTATGCTTTGTTACTCTTTCTATGTAAAAAAAAAAAAAAAACAGAACTGCACAAAATTAGATGGTAAATGGCACATATTTGTGCTTACCCTAGATGCACTCGATTCACTAAAACAGCAATTATACCTTAAGGTTCCATTGTTAATTCATACAAATACCTCATTGCCTGCCAGGGCACTTAGTATAACACAGCAATAGTACCAATGCTATAAAGAACAGTTTATGTTATCTATCCTTGATTAATAAAGTGGTGTTTGTGTTACCATTCTGGTAATTCCATTAAGCTCATTACTATTGCTCTTATGATTATGGCAAAAAGATGTCAACTGGAATCAACTATTCCTTTCTAGAATATCCCACTAACCCTCCAATCAGCAACAAGACACTGCTTCCTCTGCATTAACTTATTACGACATTGTGCAAGCATTTTCTAATGGTAGATCTCTGTTAAATCAAACAGGTTAATGATTTAAACACATTACAATAGAGCGCTATCACTGACAGATATATCCTATGCAATATTTGATGAGGCATGACTGATGGATGTGGAAAGACCATGGTAAACCATAAGAAGCTCTCAAACCTGGTCGTCGTCGTCTCCTCTTTTTAGAACCGAACAGTTTGACCCGAGAGAAGACATTGAGTTTATTTTTTTCACAGTTTCCTTTGCCTTTGCTGGGGCTGTTAACACATTTACAAGCATTGGATTTTTCCCTCTCCCGAGCTTGTCTCTTCTGTCTAATCAGGGAGCTGGCAATTGCAGCAGCCATGGCCAATGTTTACCAACAACAACAAAAAAATTGTCTTTTCAAATGAAAGATACCGTGATGCACAACCGGATTGGGTGACAATCCTTTTTTATTTCTAAGAGACAAAAAAGTTGACCCTTACATTACTATAGTCACTACTGATGAGCCTCCTAAATACTGTCACATAATTTGGATCTTCTGCTGAGTATATACTTTAACTGTCTTCTTTCCTTTACAAATAACTTTGTCCAACCCTCAGATCTCTTTTCACCATCAGCCTCGGTTTCAGGTTGTGCTGGGTTTCTCCTTTCTTTGTCCAATGGAGATAATTTTGCAGAGTTTTTAAAACATAAATATTGACCAACATTGCAGTATGGGCTTGACCTCGATGAAACAATGGTCTGTTCTTTCCAGTTCCATTCTGGCATCATGGACACAGCTCACGTCTGGTTTTCCTTGCTGAAGCATCATAGTTTCCATAGACACACTAGTTACATTGGAAATGAAAAAAAAAAAACCTTTTCCGTATTCCAGTATAGCTGTTGTGTTCAATGCAGCAGCAGCAGCAGTCTCAGTCTGCATGCACTGAAGCCACTTGTAACTGTGTATGTGTGTGAGCGAGAGACAGGGAGAGAGCGAGAGATGCAGATGGTCTGTTCCCCTCCTTTTTTTTTCAATGAATTACAGAATAGCTCTGACCAGTCTCCTATTGTATGTCATCTGCTAACATCTGGTTACTTTTACGGAGTACAAAAAAAAGCATTTACAGCTGAGTTGCTCCATTTGTTGGCTAGAGTCATGTATGAATTCACATTGCAGGCTTTCCTATCTATGCAGAGGTTTGACATGGCAGGTCAGGATGAGCTGTGTGTTGATGAAGGGAACTTGCTCTCAAGAGCCACCTCCCGAAGAGAGAAAGGTAGCCTGAATTAATTGATGAAGGACTCTTTCATTGCTGGGGCAGATTAAAAAAGCAAAACAATTAACCAGGTTTGGGAAAGAAGATAATCTATTATTGGTTTTTTCTTGAAAGCGAAGGATTGGCTGTTAGGGATTTTATCCTGATTGGTTGGTTCCCTTTTCCTGCCTAGCTCTTCTTCAAAAGATAAGATTTAACTAAGTACAGCAATTCCTTCTAGGCTGATCAGTCTGAGAGTGAGAATACTAATATATCAATATGTATTCTGTAAACATTCTTGTTATAGGATAAATCAAATACCATAATTGAAGAATTCAATAGAAGCTTGAAATTCTAAGATGCAGTTTGCTAACATGAGGAAATAGCAATATAATATTGATCTACAATTGCTTATAGAAACATGAGTGAATTGAGAACTGTATGCCAAGTCTAAGCTGGTGTACAAACAAAGAAGAATTTACCATCAATCAGATGCAAAAGGACAATTTGCATAATGTACCAGAAGCTTCAAGTGATTGTAAACCTCAGACCTGAAATATGAACAAAGCATACCTATCTATAGTGTGCACTTGTCTCAATTAGGAGCACTAAGGCTACATGTACACTAACCCAGTGTTTCTCAACCTTTTTCCAGTCAAGGTACCCTTTAATATTATAGGCAATCTTGAGGCACCCCATTCTAAAATGTAAAAAATGAAACTAAAGGTTTTACATGCGCAAAGATCCACAGAGGTGATTTATTCTTCCAAAGCAAATACACCTTTGCACACACTGGTACTGACTAGTATTCCAATGTTTATCTTCTTTCTCACTCAGCTAATGTGACCCCAGTGCTGGCAGAGAGAGGCAAACAAGGATAATGTGCAGGCACCCAACATCCCCCTTATCAACCAATGACATAATTAATTGTTAGGACGCCAGTGGCTGTAAGGTTGTAGTGGTGCACGATGAAAACCTGTGGCTTTGTGTAACTAAAATGCAGGCTTCTTCCACCGGATGGCTTGTGTACAATTTTTGGGCACTTTTTAAAAAATTTTGCCAAGGCACCCCAGGGCACCCTGGTTGAAAAAGGCTGTACTAGCCTACCCTGACTGCAGGAAAATGCAAAATATGGCAAAAACGCATGTAAGCATGATACCACATTTGCACACATTTTTGCCTTGTTTTGCACTTTCCAGTGGTTGGCAGTCAAATTGTTCCTATCCTGAAAGGAATTCTTCTGCGTTCAGAAGCGGGAGGCTAAACCTCACCTAAATGTGGCAGCTCCTAAACTCTACTAAAAGCCTATGTGTACATGGACAAAAAAACACCAAAAACTCCTAAACTCAAGTTTAGGAGCTGCCAGTGTACATGAAGCCTAACTGTCGTTTCTGACATCTGCTCATTCCTCTCCTATCTGCATGAGTCCCTTCTGACAAGTTTTCCTGACACCATGAGAAAAATGGTGACGGGGAGCAACTTCCAGGAGATTGACAACCTCAGCTGTGTTCCTGTGTGCTGTGTGGAGGGGGAGTGTCCCTTTCATCCAATCATCTCTCAGAGCTCTCCTGTGTGTAATTTCAGCGCTCCGCCCCCCTTTTTTCTGAACTCTCAGACAAGCTTTATAATATCTGAGCTTTGGAAGAAAATAGAGAAGAGAATACGGCAGATAGACAGGTACAACTGATGTAGGAGGATTTGTTTCATCTTTATGTATCACCTGAGGCCAGACTTCACTAAGTATATGTAAGGGTTTACAACCACTTTAAGGTTTTTTTTAAATAATGAAAAAATGAATATCACTGAAAAATATTCACTGCAAACAGATTCAGAAAAATGAAAAGCACCAGTCTTGACCATAGCAGCAACCAGGTATCATCTTTTACATAACCTGGCAAAATGACCCAGGGAAAATGACTTGGTGCTAAGAGTAACACAGACACTCAAAGACAAATCATTATTTGTGTCTGTAACTGTGAAAGTACACCCCCTTTCCATCAGAAAACTTTTCCAGTCCTGGTGGAAAATAAATGAATTTCAAGTTCTCCCACCTCCTAATGTGAATGAGTTGTGCATCCCTGTCTGCCATTGATGGTACTGTGAATAAAGTATGTGAGTAGCAGCATCAACAGAAAAGTTGTTTTTTTTTTGGGGGGGGGGGGTTTTGACAAAAATGCTAGGGATGCCAAACTTTCCTCTCTCATGCACAATTTATGAATCGTACCTCAACAACTAATTATTGTGATAATTGCATTACACAGCTTTGTGCTCTGGAAGCTTATTGTTTTTGCTACAATTATATATTGAAAGTATTATTGTTTTACTTTTTTTTTTTTTTTTTTAAAGGACAAATTGGAAGCTAATTTCTGGTGCATTGGCATGTCCCTGTCTATGAGTCTTGGCGAGATGTTGAGGCACTTCAAAACTGCTTTAAAGCTTGTTTATAAAGCAGTGTTCACTTACTAATCTGTGCATAAAAACTGCATCAAAAGAAAAATAAACATTCACATACTTTTTCTGTGCTCTACTGATAATATGAACTAAGCTATTATGCTATTTTTCTATAGTCTTATTATTGTAATAGCAAGACAAGTCGAAGCTGCTTTCTTAGATGAATTACCAAGTGACTATGAAACAAATGATTTCCCTACTGAAGCTCAAACATGCATATCCTGCTAATGGCACATAGATGTAAACTATTTTGAAATGTAAACCGATTTAATCTGTTGCAAATCACAAACTTCAAGGACAATCTGCCTTCATTATTTTAAAGAAGAGGTCTTCTGGTGATGAAAAAAAATGCAATTTGTCGTAAGAGAAATATGTAGGATGGCATTGCTGACATCTGAAAATACTGGTTGTCTGGTTTTCATGGTTTCAAGTCTTTCAGAAATGGGAAGGAATTGTGAAGTGAATTTCTGCATCTGTGTTTGAGACTCACAAGAACTGAAACCTGACATAGCCAGCCAACTGGGCATTTTCACATGGAGGTCAGCAATGGCAGCACACATACAGTATTTGTTTCATGGCAAATTTACTTTCAAAATTTCAGATTTTCTGCAAAGTAGATACATTACTGGGCATAGAAAAATGCAAGTGTTCGAAGGGACACTGAGGACATTGCCAACAATAACAATATTAAAAATTCTGTCCCACTCAAGCTCTGCCTTAAAGTGGTTGTAAACTTCAGACATGAAATATGAACAATGCTTATCCCTCTGTAGTGTGTGCTTTTCCAAAGTGCTAAGTGTTATTTCTGTATGCTACCCCATTACTCTGCTATCTGCATGAGTCTCTTCTGAGTTTTCCTGACACCAAGAGAAAAATGGTGACGGGGAGGGACCTCCCATCAGATTGATAGCCTCAGCTCTGTTCCTCTGTGCTGTGTGAAGTGTGTGTGTGTGGGGGGGGGGGGGGGGGGGGGGAGTTATCTTCCCCCATTCTCTTCACTAAGTTCTACAATGTGCAATTTAAGCTCTCTGCCCCCTGTTTTCTGGAAGCTTAGACAAGCTTTAAAAATTCTAGACTTTAAACAGATGTAGAGAAGATAATACTGCAGATAAATAGGTACAACTAGGCAGAAGGATTGGTTTAATCTCTGTGCATCAACTGAGGCCAGTCACTACACTGAGTTTATGCAAGGGTTTACAACCACGTTAATCTGCCCAGGTTGAGAATGACTTCTGATAAAGCTGAAAACATCCTGGTCTAAATATTAAGACCCTGTTCACCTAACACACATGTCCACATGTCATAGTAACTGTTTGGTTAATGAGGCCGCAAAAATTGCCTCATAGAATATGATGTTCCTTGAAAAATGATGTTCCTTGAAAAAATATGGGTGCTCTTCATTAATACTACATATGAAGCAAAAGAGAGATCTTCCATCATGCACTTCTGAAGCAGATAGAGAACCAGTGCTATTCTGTGTCTGTGCATTCTGCAGTCATCTTAAATAATGGCATCAGTCCTGCCCAACTTCCCACCATGTTATAGAGATGAGAAGAGGGTAGTGTTCTGTGGTTGCAATCAGAAGCGAGTGGCCTAGTGTGATGGCATTGCTTTTCCATACATACAGTACAGGTAAGTGAGCAGTTTCACCCTAAGAGAGAAAGTGTCTTCC